GCTAAGCGAAAGCTCTTAACAATGTTCAACTGTTTCTCCTGATCCCAAACCCAATCTACTCCCCAATTGTCCAGAGATTCCTGATCCCCGCGAACCGTTGTAAAACGGTTTGTGGCTGCTGGCCTCATGGGCTATCGTGGATCGTCTGGGCGTCCTCTCAGATCAGATAGCCAACATAGGAGAGAGCGCGCCCGCAGGGCCCGAGCAAAGGGGAGGGGGGGCTAGGCTTAAGCTACCCCCCCCCCTCCCTTGAGCCGCCCTTGTTGGAAGCACAGGCGCCCCGCCCTCCCCCCTTTGTTCCCACGGGGGGGGGGCTTACAGATCCCCCCCCTCCCCCTTGGGCCCTCCCGGAAGCTACCCCCCTCCCCCCCTTTCCAAAGGGGGGGGGGGTGCTTAAGCCACCCCCCCCTCCCTTGGCGCCGCCCTGCTGGAAGCTACCTCCCCCCCTCCCCCCCTTTCGTGCAAAGGGGGAGGGGGGCTTGGAAGCTACCCACCCCCCACCCCCCTTTGGCCGCCCCGGAAGCTACCCCCCCCTACCCCCGGGGGGGTGCTTAAGCTACCGCCCCCCTCCCTTGGAGCCGCCCTGCTGGAAGCTCCCACCCCCCTCCCCCCCTTTGTGCCAAAGGGGGGGGGGGCTTGGAAGCTTGCCCCCCCCCCTTGCCCCCTTTGGCCGCCCAGCCCCCGGAGCCTCCGCCCTCCCTTTCGCCGACGATCCAAAATGAACAATCCACGATCGAGGATGGACGATCGACGATCAACGATCGACGATCGAAAATCCCAATCGAATCGCTTGCAATCGATTGCACTCCATTCCACTGCAATCCCCCTCCCCACCTCCCTCCACTCCCTCCCCTCCCTCCACACCCTTCGTTCCATCTCCTCCCTCCCCTCCCTCTCCTCCCCTCCCTCCCTTCCGTCCTGTCCCTCCCCTGCAATCCAATCGATTGAATCGATTGCAATTCAACCGATTGCAATCCAATCGATTGTAATCCAATGGATTGCAATCGAATCGTTTGCAATCCAATGGATTGCAATCGATTGCAACGCAAGTGTATCATTCAACTCGTCCCGTGCCAACGCCCGGGAACGAAAAATTACCCTGGCGACGTACCCACCCCCTGCGCAAACGCGGGGCGCAAATAGCTTAGGACACTTTCTAAAGGGGGCGATGACGGAGCGAGGGTTGCATATGTCTGCAGACGGAATTCGGGAGACTCGCAGGACACTGGCTTCAGGACAAGGACTAGATAAAGCTGATTAGTTGCAATCCCTTAGCAACCCTAGCCACTTCGAAAGCGGGGATCTCAGATCGCAGCCCCCCAGGGATGGCGAGGTCTGATTTGGGTCCGCGCGTGGCGTCTCTGTGCTGGGCCCCCGAGCAGGCCTCGAAAGTGGCGACAGTTTCACAGATCGCAGCCCCCCAGGGATGGCGAGGTCGAATCTGAATCCCCGTAGGGCGTCACTCCGCTGGGCCCCCCAGCAGCCTCGAAAGTGGCGACAGTTTCACAGATCGCAGCCCCCCAGGGATGGCGAGGTCTCGTTTGAATCTGCCCGTGGCGTCACTGTGCTGGGCCCCCCAGCAGGCCTCGAAAGTGGCGACAGTTTCACAGATCGCACCCCCCCAGGGATGGCGAGGCCTAGGACGTGGTGGAGCGCGTGGCGTCACTTGTTGCCTGGCCCCCACGTGCCTCGAAAGTGGCGACAGTTTCACAGATCGCAGCCCCCCCAGGGATGGCGTGTTCTAATTGGGTCCCGCCCGTGGCCTCACTGTGCTGGGCCCCCCAGCAGACTCGGAAGGTGGCGACTCTTTCACAGTTCACAAGATCGCAGCCCCCCCGGGATGGCGAGGTCCTAATTTTGGTCCGCGCGTGGCGTCACTGTGCTGGGCCCCCCAGCCGGCCTCAAAGTGGTCCCCAGTCTTTTCACAGATCGCAGCCCCCAAGATGGCGACCCCCCAAGATGGCGAGGTCTAATTTGGGTCCGCCCGTGGCGTCACTGTGCTGGGCCCCCCAGCAAGCCTCGAAAGTGGCGGCAGTTTCACAGATCGCAGCCCCCCGCAGGCAAGACAGGAGGAAGCAAGAGGGAGACGGGACGGGAAGGAGGAAGTGGAGACCACACTGCTCTATTCAAAACGAATACCCAACCAAGGAGGGTTGGGAAAAGTACTATCCCCCCGAAAAGTTGCACGAAGTGTAATTCGGAGAACGCCAGCCCGTCGGGTTTGGCAGTGTTCGTGTAAGACGGCGGCCAGCTGGGGGAGGAGGAGGCGGAGGATGGGGGAGGCGGAGGGTGAGGAGGAGGAGGAGGAGGAGG